GAGCTGAAATGTTTGTTTGAAATAAAGTTGCATCTCAGTTTGGAGGTCTGTAGTTAGTTAGTGAGGAATGCCTCAGGCCCGAAAGTGGAATAAATCACTAACATGGCTGTCCACAGTCTTTTCCCTTTTTCTGCTCCCCTCCTCTGTCTTAAATGTTTTCCTGTGTCCTCCTCCTTCCCTGGCCTTTATCTTTCTCTTCCTCAACCCCAAGAATTAAAGGTCCACTTCCTTTTTCTTCTTAACTTGATCTCACCGTCGTCCCCATACTTCTTTCTTCATGCTCCCCCCTCCCTGCCTTTGTTTGCCTTCTCTTAAAGAAAAGCTTTGTGGTTCAGCCGACCGCCGGCTGTATTTGCAAAAAGCAGAGAAATCTGATACTGCTGGAGGCAAACAAGAAAAACTTTAGTGACTCTAATAGAAAACATAAATGCAATGAGTCCAATGAGTTTCTTTGTGTTTTCCACTCGCTGGGATTAGTACTCTTCTCCTGAAACCTTCAAATCAACTATTTTATCAATAAATTACATTACAGAAAATGAAGAAGAGAAAGCAGACTTGTTGATAAATCTTTAAACGTTGATCCCCATCTTAACTTTTAAGATTAAGGCCTCCAATATTACCAAATACACCATGCTCTATAACAGAGCAAAAGGGCGAAACTGAGCAACTCTGCTTTACTCTGTTCAGCCTTCCTGTTATCTGCTGAAAGTCTCTAAACAGTCGCATAAAAGATACGTTTAGCCATACAAAGCCTGATTCCATTTAGGTATCTTACTAAATCTCCCAGCTTTCTTTATATATGAAATATATCAGAGATTTTGAGTTTACCCTTAAGAAACAATTTGTTAATTGAAAGTGGAAAAGCTGTGGTTTTGTGTTCATAGATCGACTTTTTTTAAGTTTCTGACACGGATCTGGGCCGGTTGCAGTTATGAAGACCAGGGGATAAAGCTTTATACTACTGCTCCTTTCTTGCCTTGATTTACTGTCGCTTTTATTTTTTTTATTTCCTAAGGAGATGAGTGTGTTTTAGAATCTGTCGCTGTTACATAATTCTAAGCATTGCAGGTCAGTGGTTCATTATATCCCGTATTTCGTTACCCAACAAAAATGAGTGTATTTTTATTTTTGCATAAATATTTTTCAACTCAAGTGTAAATAATGCTGAGACTCCATCTGGAGGTAGAGTTGCATCCAAAAGGCTTAAACTGAATAGTATGAATCTAGTAACTGATCACAAGTTTAAGCAAAACAACATTGTAACAGTTTAGATTTTCCTTGTTGTTTTAGTTTTTTTTAGTTGCTTTTAGATTATACATATTATATAGATGCTACATGCTGACTTGCATTGTGTTGCAGTTTTTTCTGTTTTGCTCTTATGGTGTTTGAAGTGGAAATCTTTGTTTACAAACTTGCCTGATGAGGTGAGCAGCACCATTAGAATAACAGATTACTTTTTAAATTGAAGAAATTTCAAACTAAATATTTACAACCTAATTCAAATGTGATCAGTCAATAAATTACAGAAATACCAGAAAACCCTGTGCAGGATTGGCTGCAAAATGTTGAATCACACTCTAAACTTTCAGGATTGGGTTTTAAACTTAGTTGTGGTTGGTCTCTGTTTTAATCTGAGAAGAGCTGAAAATCAATAATATTGTGATTTATCTTTATTGTACTAGCAATAACAGATTGGTCAAAGGCTTAATTTCAATCAAACAGTAAAACAGGCAATATACAAATAATGGGAATATAAATTGGCTGAAAAGTATCAAAAAAAGGAGAAGAAATTGTTTTTGCATGAATCATACTTTTATAGCTGATTAGCTCAGCATGATTGGAAAATGTCTTTAACGCTTGAGAAAACTTTTAAAATATCTCGTATTGTTCAGGCTGTCTGAAAGGACTTGTTTTATGAAAGGTAGAGTAGCTCCTTCCCCATCTTTCACTAAACAACGGTAACCTACTTTTTGCTGAAAGGTCTGATTTAAGAAAATTTATTTTTAATCCAAGTATTTGCTTATTCAGGGATATGATTAAAATGATTGTTGAGGTTGGTATGCAGCACTTGGGACTTATTGATGCTTCATTTCGAATTCCCTTATGAAAAACTCCACTATGTAACTTTAGAGTATATGTATGAAACTTGAGGCCTACGAGCTGAAGCTGACCCACCACAACATTTAATCCGTCCCCTAGTAGCCAAAAAGAAAAACCATACAAAGTCATTGAGTAGAGACATATCTGGGCTTTTAAAATGTACAAAGACCCTGTTAAAGCTTTGATCATGCTGAGGTTGCCCGATATAAAGACTTTGATACCCTTCCTTTACAGGGTCGTATCTGTCACTGAATGAGTCATGTTGCTCTAAGTTACACAGTATTGCTTTTAAGCAGCCAGCTATCAAAAGAGATGGCTACTTAATCAGCCACTTTTAGCTTAATACTCATATTATCAAGAGCAGAACACTGAAAAAAATCTATTAATTTCTGGACCTTAAAAGCTCACAAGTTGTTCAGCGGTTCTTACGTGTTTGAAATAATACACTGTAGCAAACATTTTCATATATGTTACGTTTTATATTCAGAAATATCTTAATATTTTTGTTGTTTTTTGATTGTTATTTTTTAACTAAAACTTGAAGTATTTAACTATTGGGTATATGAACATGTAGATATAAAAACTCTAAGGATATTAGGGATATTGGACCATGTTAATCCCTTACGTCTGCATTAATGCTTAAAGAGATAAATACAGAAGGGATAAAAGGCCAGGAAAGGGAGGAAGAGTTCAGAGGCAGAGGTATGTGTGGAAGGTTGGTACAGAGGGGAGGTGGAGGGCATTGAGTCGCAGCAAGTTGCTGACTGACTGACTGGAACAGGATGGGGAAGTGGTGGACGAGACCGGAGCAGCTTCCATAGGTGAGTCTCTATGACACATGGATTCACACAATGAGCTACATTATGGAAGTCAGACTAGACTTTAGAGTTTCCACTGCGATATTATTCTTTGCTCATTTCTTTTTTTTTCTTTTCATAACTCACTACAAGGTCAGTTTGAACTGTTCAAGTTTCCACCAGCAGTAATGCCGATCCATGCCGATTTAGACAAGTAAAGATTTTATGTTGGATTATTTGCAGGATTCTGTATCATTAAGTCCACGTATGTGCCTACTTGTCAGCTGAATGATCAAACATGAAAGGTTCATAGCCAGGACAGGGCTCCAATGCACAAAGCCAAATATCTATGCTGTAAATGTGTGTGTGAGGCAGGCCAGCTGGGAGCAGATCATGTTTCAGCTGCTTTTCCCGTCTCACATTAACAGGACAGAGGCCTAATGTAGGGCTGTATCACCAGAGAAACAAAGATATAAACACAACATTTCAAACCTATACTGACAGCTACACTGTTACAGTGGGGCAGTCGTGTTTCTACATGCTCAGGGTTTAATAAACAGACTAAACATTGAATATATAACTTATTAATCCACACAAGGAAATCGAGTGATTGGAGCGGACCGTTTCAATGACTTCCTGCCAAGACCTGAAGTGCTTTAAAACTAGATCAAATATTTTCTAATAGGTTCAGTCTACTGGGACGACGGCTACATCTGTTTAAAATTCCCCCTGTTTTAACAGAGTTGGTGAAGGGATGGTCAAATCTGTCTGATCATCACTTTTGCCCCTAATTAAAGGATCCCATTAAATATGAAGAGAATTTGGGTGGAAATGAAATGCGGACATTTAAGACGCCTAAAGCTTTGCTGCTGCTCGCTTTCTAAAGTATTTCATCCCTTTAATGTTTTGGAATTTTAATACATAATTTATATGGCAGACTGATGCCGAAAGTGACCTCTGGGCATGCTCTTTACTCTCTGCTTTAAATCAGACTGAACACTTTTTAGAAATTGGTCTGCCTATAATTCTTTTTGGGATTTTTTTTTCATGTTCAGGAAACCATCCAATAATCACCTTCCTCTTGTCTGTATCCACGCCTATAGAGGCCAAGAAAGGCTGTTTCTTGTGTCGATTGCAAAGTAGCCAGAGAGGGGGCACGCCCTGTACAGGTCACCCATCCATTACAGGGAAAGACGGAAACACAAAGGATAAAGCATCATGAAGTCACACACTCACTCCTCAGGGGTCATTTAGAGACCTGACACCAGTTAAGCTAACCTGCATGTTTTTATGAACTCTGCCTGTGGTTTATACACGTGGAATGGATGTCTGGAGTTGGTTAAAAGTTACCATATATATCGGCCCACTTTAAGCATGCAAAGTCTAACTAGCTGTGCTGGAAACCACAACAACAGAGAGGCTTTTTTATGGGTTTTTCCACATCTGTTTTGATTTTTGCCTGTTTTGTTTCCATTAAATGTAGGATATAAAAGTTTGTCACTGAAAGGAATTCTTAATTTGTGTTAAAGAAAACAAGAGGTTCAACAAAGACTCTCCCTGACTGGGGGAGTCTTTGTTGGTCAGGATAATGATTTGTGATATTCTGGATGCTGGACTTTATTATCTACCATTTGCCAACCAGTTGGGGCATTTCTAGAGTCTAGGTCAAAGTGCAGTGACTAATTTGCTCTGTAATGATTATCCCCCTGTGATATCAGCATGTAGGTATTCAGATGACTATGAAGCTTTAGGCTGCTTGACAAACTAACCTGTTTGGATTGTTGTCATCGGATTCAATAAAACTGTTTTACTTCCTTTCAGTTCACTCTAAGATTAGTTTTTTCTCTTACCTTGTGAGATTTTTCAAGTTCTTGAGATTCTTGCTGTGAGGAAGCTTTGTAAAAGAGCTCAGCTGTGTACATCTTTTCCACGTCCTTATCTTTCATGCCGTACCGGTTTTGCACATTTTCTGCATTGCTGGGGGTCATTTTTTTGACCTCATGCGACCCCCCTTTCCTTCCCATCCATACCTTTTTTCCGCTTAGACTTTACATGAACAGCTTCCTTGTAACCTTGTTGCTCCCTCTATTTGTGTCATCGTAGGACCAGAGGTGTTCCCCACCAACAGCAGCAGTGCCATGTCTGAGGCGGTGGTGCCCGACGCCATGGTACCCCCAGCAGTGGGCAGTCTGTACGGGGAGAAGGCCGCTGGAGCTGTGGTGGACTTCAGCTATGTGGGCATTGATGCCATTCTGGAGCAGATGAGGAGAAAAGCCATGAAGCAGGGCTTTGAGCTCAACATCATGGTAGTAGGTAAGGCATGCATTTTTTTAAACGTAAACTTTGAGATTCTTGGACTAAAAAACAAACATACACCTCTGCCATGGTTGACGTATCTCTCCTTATATTATGTATCCTCTTGCATTATATTAATCCAAATAATATGTAAAAGTAAATTATAAATGCTTTTGGTATTTTACATTTTACTCTTATTGCAGCACTCTACAAAGATGCATCCCTCAAAAAAAAATTGTATTTTTTATTTTTTCCTGTTTTATTGCATTCTTTTCCTCTAATTAGTCTTGACTGAAAGAAGAGGGCTAGATTCAATGTATAACAAGCAGCCATCTCTGTTGGAAGCCCAACACTCTCCTCTTGAGTCCTGCGATCAAACACGTTTATTATACACACAGCTCAGCTGTAACCACGCCGTCATAAAACTCTCCACTTCTAATTGGCGTCTCGTGAGGATGATGTCGCAACAGCTTTTCTGTGAAAGTTGCTTTTTCTGCATGCAAAGTTAAAAAGAATTGGACTTAAAGGTTGTTTGAAATAAAAGTAATCTGGTTTCCATTTTTTCTTTTGTTTGCTTCTATGCTTTAAAGATAAAATCTGTTACACAAACTACTTTTGTTTAAACTTTCTATTACTTAGGTAGAAAAGTAACACAAAATACTATATTGCATAATTTTCTCTTTCATTTTTCCCCCTAAATATCAAAACATAAATGAAATAATGAGGTTCTAACATGATGAAATATAAAAACCTGCATTGCTTATGTGAACTTTTGGAATCTACTGCTTATAACTGTTTTTAAACAATATAGTTAGTCCCTGAACCAGTCTTTATCAGGAAACAGTCTTTTTCTGTGAAAGTTGTATGTAATTACGCCACTTCAACATTATTTCAATTGGTGTAAACACTGTTGGCATTAATATAACCTTCTTGTACGAGTTCCAGCTGTGCAGTTTTTAAACCTCTTCATCAATCATGTTCTGCTGCCTGCTTGCTTAGGTGACTTTTTTTTTTGAGGTCAGCTCCATAAATCAGAGCAGTTCTTGTTGACTTAACCTGAATTCAAACTTTTAATGGTTATATCTCTGTAGAAGTCTGGCTGTAGCTAATTATTCAGCTGCCAGATTATGTAAAGTAATGCCCCTTCCTCATTTTAATGTGTATAGTAATGTGAGCAAATGAGCAGGGAGTTGCTGTTTCTTTAAAGTTCAGCAGCACAGGATCCGTTGTCCTCATTTAATCCAAGTTTACAGACTTTCTTTAAAGTTATTTTTTAATTATGTGTGGATTTATTACTGTATTAGTATGCAGCCAATATAACAGATTTCTTTCATTTTCTACCTTTGGCTTACAGGACAGAGCGGCCTCGGAAAGTCGACTCTGATGAACACTCTCTTCAAGTCTAAAGTCAGCAGGAAGTCTGTACTGGGCACAGGCCAGGAGAAGATCCCTAAAACCATAGAAATTAAGTCCATCAGTCATGGTATGTTTTTTTTTTTTTTTCTTTCTGCTGTCCTTATTGTTGTTTTATTGCATGTCATCTTATGAAGCAGCTACATTTTAAAGGGAATCAGGTTGCATTTCCATATGGCTCTTTTTGTGGGCAGACATTGAGGAGAAAGGAGTCCGAATGAAGCTGACTGTCATTGACACACCAGGATTTGGAGACCAGATCAACAATGAGAACTGGTAAAAGTTTTTCTACTGCTGCAAACATGTATTCAATGAGTGTTTAGACAAACCAAGATCTTGGAAACTTTTATTTTCATGGGTTTTTTTTTTCTCAACTGACTTTCCTGTTTTTCCATAAACATAGCTGGCAGCCCATCATGAAGTTTATTAACGACCAGTATGAAGCATACCTCCAGGAGGAAATTAACATCAACAGGAAGAAAAGGATCCCAGACTCCAGAGTCCACTGCTGCATTTATTTCATCCCCCCAACTGGTCACTGGTAACCCCACCAACTAAAATCTTATTGAAATCTTATTGAAAATTGTGAAAAATAGCGAGATTTGAATATGAGGGGATTTTAATGTTATTCTTTCACTGTTGGTGGCATTTTAATTGTATTTTAAAGTGCAAATCTTCAGGTTTTAATTGGTTTATACAAAATATTAACTTGAATAAAGAAATTAAATAAAATAGCTCTTTTAGAGAGAATAGACATTGCCCCTGTGCCATTAGTGAATTGTTTAACATAAAAGATCCATAGAAAATGCAACTTTTATGTTTCAATGAGGCCAGTTTACATCAGATAAGACAAATAAAGTCCTGCAAAGCATCACAACAGAAAGTCTAAATAATTAGTATTTAGGGCTGACCTTGTGACGAAGTGACAGACGGCTGTTGTAATTAGTATTTAGGGCTGACCTTGTGGCGGAGTGACAGACGGCTGTTGTTACAGGCTCTGCGGTCTGATGAGTGTCTGCATGTGTTCATCCAGACATTTAGTTTCTTCTCACCTTTGAAAACGTGAAGCTGAGCTTCGTTGCTCTTCATCATTTAAAAACACACAGAGTCCTGTCATTGCACTTAAAAACCAGACGTCATACTGCAGAACACCATTCCACTGCTTTGCAAACACAGGCTGCTCTTCCCAATATGCCAAGTCTCCCCCTGGATTTCTTACAGATGCAAACATCTGGCTTTTATCAAACAGACTAATCTACTTTCTTGGCTCAGCCTGTAGTTCCTGCAGCTCTGGGGACTAGGGTTTACTCAGAGGCGGAATTAGCAGGAGCTTTCACATATTCTCATGTGTCCATCTAGTGATAGACTCAGAACACGTTTTCTTGCATTCTCTGAAAATCTGGCTGTGTGCCTTGGGAAAGATCATGTAACAGTGGACTCTTTATAAAGGCGCACTTGATAAAGACGTGTTCCAGTGCTGCACCTCATCCCTGTAATTTATGTATTTATATTTCTTTATCGTAGCCTGTCTTTGCTCAGGAAGGGGACGCTTGTGAAAGGGTCATCCTGAGTCAAACAGTCTTTAATGTTGATCTAGTACTGCAGAATTCACTTTGAAAACGCCTAATGTGAGCTTGCAGGAACAATAGCAAAGACATGGAGTATGTTTCTAAGTGCAAGCAATCATTTTTGCACTTCAGTTTATTTTCTTTTCAAATGCAGAAGTCTGGCTGGACAGAATCTTACAATATGTAGAAGCTTAAACAATCTTTGAGGTTGTAGATCATAAATAACATGAAGCTTCAAGGAAAGCAAAAAAAAAAATGTAATGCTTTGTTTGAGAGAGATGCTGGGGAACACTGCTCTCTGCTGGTTGAATGTGTTATTGCAGTTTTCTGAATTTGCTCTGTCATTTCCTTCCCTCTCAGTTTGCGGCCCCTTGATGTAGAATTTATGAGGCGTCTCAGTAAGGTGGTCAACATCGTCCCGGTCATTGCTAAGGCAGATACTCTCACACTGGAGGAGAGAGACTTCTTCAAAAAGAAGGTAACAGTTTTCTTTAAATGTTGGTTTTGTTTTATTTCTTCCTCTCTCTAAAAGTCAGCAGAATGTTAACAAGTTTATTTATTTATTAGAATTACATAAAAAAATCTAACATATTGTTTGAACATTTGATTTTACTAATATGTGCAGATTTATGTGCACGTACGTATCTGGTTAAAATGAAGGAAGTTCTAGTCTATAATTTCCCATTTTTAACAGGTTACAGTTTGTCCTGACATGTTTGCCTTTTCACTCACTAGATCAGGGAAGAGCTGCGAGCCAATGGGATTGATGTATACCCCCAGAAAGAATTTGATGAAGATGCAGAGGACAGAATGATTAATGAAAAGATCAGGGTGAGAGCTTTTCTTTTTGCATTCAAGTAGTGCATTCCATGAACATTATGGTTTTGGTTACATTATTACCACAAACTTAATTTTACTGGAATGTTGTGCTTCAAGCTGTCACAAGCAACACAGAATTGCAAAAAAGAAAAAAAATTTCATACTTTTTTATTTTTTTGTCTAGGCAACATTTGATTGGTTTAGATGAGGGCATAGTTTTGTTTTTTTTTTTGAGAATTTTGATTGCTATTTTGATTAATTTAGCTACTTTGCTCAAATGTGTCTTGCAAATGTAAAAATAGATGTCAATAGGGTTTTATAAAGTGTTGCTTATAGTTATATGCCTCACTTTTCTAAAATTGTACTTAAAGACATCCTAAAAACTTTTTTCATCCACTCGTGAATGTCCACATTGTGTTGACTTACCACGTAAAATATGTTGAAGTTGACAGTCGTAGAGAAGCAAAACCTGATAAAGATTTAGAAGCATGAGTACTTTTGCAAAAGAATGGCTGCTGGTATGATTTTTGTAAATCCACTCACTGTGGCTCTTTGATGGTTGGAGCAGGAGATGATCCCGTTCGCAGTAGTGGGCAGTGATCAGGAGTACCAAGTGAACGGAAGAAGGTTGCTGGGGAGGAAGACCAAGTGGGGCACGATTGAAGGTGATTTTCTATGACGATTTAATCATCAAAGCTGCACATTTACAGCTGATCACAAAATAAATTTTAAATTTGTTTCTGAAAATGGTGTATTTTATTTTCAGGTTTCTGTTACTGCCAGCTGTACATAGACTTAGACTTTACATGGATGTTGCCGTTTTCTAGATATATACTACATTAACATTGCTTTGTATTAAATGATTCAATCAGTTTTAAATTTATTGCAGCTTTGCGACAATATTAGACAAAGGTAGCCTCTCCAGATAGAAGGTTCAGCCTCTTTATCAAATGTCTCATTAAGGAAGTTTCATTTCCTGCAGCATGCTGTGCAGAAACACAAGCATATGTCTGCTCTGAGGTTTCTCAAAGTGGTTCTTATCTCTTCAGATTTAAATAGCTGCAGAGATCTGTGTACATAGGAGATGGCTAACTGTAGCTATATTGAAAATGACACCATGATCTACCTCTCCACCTAGTGGACTGTTCTGGAACTCAACTTTACACCCTCTATGTTGTTTTGATTCTTTGTTAGCTTTATTGTTTGGTTCATTTAATCCAAAAGCTGAAGTCTTCCTTTATTCTCTCTCATGCAGTTGAGAACATCGCCCACTGTGAGTTTGCCTACTTACGAGATCTTCTTATCAGGTGAGTGGATTTTGTCTCAATATTAGAAACACTGAAGCATAGCTAAGTACATTTCCTTTTTAAATTTAAAAATCGTCATCCAGGTGAAATTATTTATAGAGCATTAATTGGCTCCATATAAGTGGGGTTTTTGGAGAGAAAGGTGCTGGTAAAAGGTGGAAACCTTGAATTTATGTCAAATACTTTTGCTTCATGATTTTTATTTCCATGTTGAATAGTTTTATGTGCACATAAAATTTATGAGCACTTCTATGTTTAACCCTGTTATCAACTTAACCCAGACTATCCATTGTTTAAAAAAAAAAAAAAATTCTCTTTTAAAGGTATCATTTGTAGCAGTTTTCAGCATTTCGAAAATGTTTGTTTTTCAGTCATGGACAGGGATTTTGTTCAGATAAGATGGAAAAAAAATGTATTTATTGTTTTACAGGAATTTAAATAATAACTTTCCTTAAGTTAAATTCTAGCTGCTGAGGGAAACATAAGGAGCATTTAGGACAATATCTCTTTATTGTGTGCATCTTTTACCGACTTATGTTCTATCTAAATATAACACATATGCCATGAAGAACTATGTCTTTTACTGCTAAACAATTTCAAAAGCTTCCAAAAGGTTAAAAAAAAGTATCAACACTACTTTAAATTACACTTTCTTTTTGGAATATTTTGTCAAATTAAACTTGGAAACAAAACTGCATAATATGGCAAACTCCTTCTAAAGAATTGCAGCAGTTTAATACAAAATTTATTTAATGTGCTTTATTATATTACTCTGAAGTGATTAAATTGAATTAACTGTATTTTAATAACAGTAGCATTTATTTTACTTTGGAATAATGAATTAGACATTTCTGTTTCAAATATGAGCAAAATTATCTTTCAGTTTTGAAAATGCCTTCAGAAGGAGCTTTGTTTCCCATCAGCTATTTGTTGCCTTGAGTTTTAAAAATTGTAACAAGACCCCATATTCCCAGGAGTGAACAAAAAAATAAAATATTAAAGAAAGTAGTTTTCATAAAATACACTTGACAGATATTTTTCCTGAACTATACTGTCATTTTGAGCTAATCTTTTTATTCCTTTTGCTGATTTGATGTGCGCAAAATGTACACCACAAAATGAAACATAAGAAGTCATGAAGGAGGACAATGTTTAAAAAGGGGCTTAAGTCTTTTTAGAAATGCAACATATATTTGTGTAATTTTCCTATTAAGGAGGATTCACAGTGTAGGATAACATTACAGTATATGCTGCACTTTAACATACAAATAGCCACAGTGCTCTGTGTTTAAAATCTAAGGTTTAACATATGTTCTTGAAATAAATTGAAAGCTTTAGAGTCTGTAGGAGCACAAAGAGCTTTGGAGACATTAAAGGATTGGTTTTAATTTTTTTTTTTTTTTTTTGTAAAGAGAGTATTTCCTGGAGGTTTTAATATTTAGTACCAATATTAATTCTTAGTCAGGCAATTGTTTAACAATTGATCCTGCTTGAATAAGAAGATTTTAAAAAAGCAGATGCAGGAATAGCTGAGCTGATCTGAAGGCTGATGACGTGCAAAGGTTTTCAAGGCTTTCAGCTCCCATAAAGAAAAGCAAGGAAGCACCTTTTTGAGTGAAATTACTCTCTATATACAGTAGGAAACAGTGTATTCGTCATCCTTAAATGTCAGGTTGTGGTTGCCTCAGTTATATGTTAATATGTTTATTGTGGTATAGAGGGTGATAAATGGTTAATTTCTTTTCTTATTTAGTGCCTTTATGTGTTTTTTTTTTTTTCTAAGGACCCACATGCAGAACATTAAGGACATCACCAGCAGCATCCACTATGAGATGTACCGCGTGAGGCGCCTCAATGAGAACAACACTGCGGTGGCTCACGCCAACGGCATCCCCGAACATCACCTGACCGCTCACGAGATGTAGGCCGTCGTCTGTAGAGTAAAACACCAACTACAAGACTTGATCTTGATCTTCCCTCCACTCCAGCCCTGATCTCACAGGTGGGGTCCAACGTAAAGTCTGCCAGAGGGACTTTATCATCTGCAGCTTCCAGGACTCTTTGTTTATTGCTTTTTTTTTTAACCATATCCTTATTGATGACAAACAGAGAACAAAGGGTTCTGCCTTCAAGTTTTGCTGCAGCTTGGTTTTTATATTCCTCTCCTGTCTTACAAATCTTATCGTTCATATTTTTGGTGCCAAAGTGTTTCTCTCTACCAAACTGACCAGTTATCTGATTTGCTTTAATAGGTTAAACAAGTTTGTTGTTTCATTTCAATGGTAAGCCTTTGTGCAGCATTAGAAGCACAGTTTCATCTAGAACACCAATATGCATGAAAACTGATAAAGATCATGTTTTAAGGTGATCATTATGTAACCAGAATGTGTTTGAGGAGAGTAGGGGAGCTCTTTCTCAACATGTCTGACCTTCAACCAACCAACCAACACTAACTACAGCTACAGGTTGAAGTAAAGCACATGATGTGCCTTAGATTTTTCTCTCTCTGCATCACATCCTGTCTTTTGGGTTTATTCTTCTATGTTCATATCCTGTTAAATATAAATGTCAACTCTCTTTAACCATCAGCATTATTTAGTTGGAATATCTTAAAGAGTGATTTAAGATACAAAAAAAGTATTTATGCACGCTTTAAAATGTGAACATTTCTCACAGCTTTTCTTCCACTTATTCAGGAACGGTAACAGCAACATGCTCTCAAAAGTTTTTCCTGCTCTTATTGGGTCCTCCTCAGTGCCTTATTTATTGGGGGATGATTTGCGATTTTGTCGGCCGAAACTGGAAAGAAAAGCATGTTTTTTGATTCCACCTTTTAAAATATCATTTAACATCCTTTAGTCCTCTTGTCGTTTTATCTTCCATTGACCAGACAACCTTCTGTTCTGTTGATCATAATGTACCAAGAATCTTTTCCTGTCATGCATATCTAATGTCCTGTCATTGCCATGCTCTATTGTATATTCCTCTGTGTTCTGTGATACAGTTTTTTAGTTGTATTATTGATAACAAAGTTTTCTTTATCTTATTTTAAAGAAATAAAGATTGAAGTTTTAAATGTTTAAGATGTCAGCTGCATTATATCATGTTTGTAGTCCTGGTTAAGCTTTAATTTTCTCTCATTAATTCATCTCACAGCGAGGGAGGCTTTGTTTCTAATAAAATACCATGTTTTAGATCGTTTTCTGCTACACCGAATCCCTGTAGCATTTAATCGCAGGTGTAATTCACTCATTTGAGCACTTAAGTTGTCATTAAGCCCTTCTTTGATTACCTTCTGGGATCAATATGGCTCTCCGCATGGTCAGTGCATAGCTGATTAGCACTAATTACTTGAGGGCATGAGTTCCTCAGTAGGTGAGGTGTGCAGGAAGGAGTTGTAAGCTCCACAATAGACACCGCACCACAGGGTACATGCAAGGATGCATAGGCATCATGAAGACATGGGAGTGCAGAATCTGAAAGGGCAGCAAAGTATTGAGAAGGTTAGCTGACATAGGTTTCATTACTGATTTAATAGCACATTCTTTGCATAAAAAGACTATCAAGCTGTTTAATGATGGGGGGAAAAAACCTTTTGACATTTTACCATTCAGCCTTGCTAACCTCAAACTAAAGTTATTTTTTAAAATGGCGACTTGGATCAACGCTTCACGAAATGGCATCCGCTGCCGCCCATCCTCCATCCAGGGGTTTACCTCGAGCGCACGCATCCATGACACGTGGAACAATCGCTCTTTGGCAAACTTAAAAGCCTCCATCACATAATCCAACATCTCATCATTTTATTTCTTACCTCCCCCTGTTCTCATGGGGAACAAGCTGCAGGAGAAGCAGCTGCAACTCTGTTCAGCACCAACTGGGGTTCGCCGCCTCTACCGCGTGCCACCCAGCAGTTGTTTGGTTGGCAGCCTCCCAGCGCTTCGCCGCCTGCTGTAATGACATTCATTAATGAGGTGCATGCCTTATGGGTACTAATGAAGTTGGCATCATAAACAGTTTGTTTAATACAGGCTGTGCACACGTAGTTTTTAAAAAAATATTTTGTTTTATCACATTAAACATTGTTTTAGACTGCTTTATTAAGGATTTTATTTGATAGCATAGCAAAAAAAATAAAAAAATAGGATAGATCATTTCACAATAGATCACAATAATTCTTCAAATACAAATCTCAACGTTTTCAAAAAGCATGTGTATGTATTATTTCCCCTTCAAAAAGATGTTTGCCTTTAAAAAAAAAAAACGACCTCCACTCATCAAGCCACTCCCCCCATTTCACTATGCCTTTGTATCACCATTTCTGAACAAAGGCAGAGCCAAGAAACTGATTTTCATAAATTACACATCGGCTAAAAAGGCAAAAGTTGCTGCCCTGGGAACATCAGCTGCTAAAAGAGACCCTTCATGAAAAGTGAGCGTATAACAGTGCAGGTTGCTCCATTTCTCCCTCAGAACCTTGTTGGAGAACATAAAGCAAAAACAGGTCAGGGAGAGATTGTCAAATCTATAGCAAAGGTGTCAAGCTATTAAAACATGGATGTCCACCTAAACTAATGAAGAGAGTAAAGCAGAGTCTGATGGTTACTCTAGAGGAGCTAAAGAGGCCAACAGGTCAGTTGGAAGATTTAATCTACACATTTATTTGTTGTGGATTCTGTAAATATGGCCTTTATGGATAATGGTAATTATAAAAAAAGGGGGATTGTGGATTTTTTTCTTTTGAAGCAGACATAGCCTAATTGATATAGTCTATTAACCTAAAGCATTATGCATGGTATGGTTGTTACATGTCAGGTACGCCGCTCATTGACCTTGACCAAAGCACCTTAGCGTAGAACTGCAGTCAGTCCCTGGACTGGCATGGCTATCGCTGCCTCTACATAGTTAGGGACAAATGCAGAGGACAAATTTCAACTGGGATCACCTTCATAGTTGTGGCCACTTCTTTGATTTTATTTATTTTGCTCAGGCTACTCATAAGCCCACAGCCTGTCAAATGTTGAAACATACACTATCATTGCTATTACTGATAATATATAGTTGACATTTTACACATTCACTAATAAAATGTCACAAGGGATGGTCATTTAAGAAGGTGAATGATTTTTAAGATTTTTTTTTTAAGAAGGGGGATGCCATCCCCCCTCAACACGAGTACTGACCACAACCAGAAGAGGCTGCACAGCACAGAGGATCACTTGTTGCCTGGAGGCAAACTGGTGTCTGGAAGAATATCCATACTCAACATCACCCTTATCAAGTTATCCCTTCAGTGACATGCTGCTGCTGCATCATGTTGTGGGTTTTTTGTCTTCAGGAGGGACAGCGAGGACCGATAGAGATTAATAAAAGAAGGAAGGAATCTTACTGAGGGGGGGTAGAAGCGCTTAAGTTAAAGAAGAATGAGCAAAACTTTCAGTTCCTGTTTCCCTGTCCCTAAAGACATGCGGGAAGCTGTAATCGGAGTGATGGCTGATTCTGCAGTGAATCGACTCCTGGCAGCTGAATAAAAATAATCACCATCATAGATTTAAATTCTCTTAATAAATGAAAGGCTCTTTAATTAGCTTTTTATTATTATTATTCCTAACCACTAGTGCTGGAGTTCATGAGAATGCATTGCACCCCATTGTCACATCTTTTTAATGAGTCTGCCCATTTTATCTACATAGAGTCAATGTGCTACCAATTAACATCTGTTTGTACAATGAGCACCATATAGCATCACGTTATGTTGTTCTTTTTTATAATTACTCAGCCTGATTGGAAAATCACTCTCCCCTACTGCACAGGCATAAGGTGGTGTTGCCCTCATTTGTTTCATCCCTCCCCAGTCTGCTGCCTCTCCTCTCCTTTGTTGGCTCACCTTCTCCTCCTCCCACCATGTCTCCCTCTCTCCAAAGTCAGTTTCCTCTCTCGCTCTTGGCTTTTTGCCAGCCTCTCAGACATGCGTTGGGGAAGAAGCTGCAGCCATATGCAAATCATCTGACTTTATAGAGATCAGCCCTGCTGTTAATTAAAAGTCAGCTGCAGATTCAATTAGCTGTCTGAAAAGAGGGTTGAAATGGGGTTTTCTTGCATAGATGCTGGATAGATTTGAAGCAAAAAATTCCCCTGAAAGTGTCAATTAGACTAAGAATCTATGCTGGTAGCAAAAGGAAAAAATGTTTAAAGGATTGGACAATTCCAAACAACACCTGACATCTGGGAAAGTATGTGGTGTTTATGATGGAGGTATGCAGCATGCAGAATAGAAAAAAAGGGGGGAAGGGAGAGAAAAGCATTATCTAAATATCATTCGTTAGAAAAATCTTCAATTTTTAAGTGACCAAACATTATGGTTGAAAATAAACTATCAAATGAAAAAAATTCTTGTTTTTCAAAAGATTTTTTTGAAAGGAGGTTGTTTCAGGATTGTAAAGTTAATACTTCCTAGAGACAAATATTCAGTACTTTAAAGACATTAAACAGCTATGGAAATTATTGTTAAGAGAAACACTAAGCCTGATCTGGAAACTGCTGTAAAGTGGAATATTAAAGGGGGGTGGAAGGAAAAAAAATCATCTCTTCCCATCAGAAGATGTGAGCAGAGGTGATGGATGATGGTGAGTTTGGGACGTGAGGAGCATAAAGAAACTATGGAAGGAGGACCGAAGAGCTGTAAGAAGAGGAGAATTTTCTGTTTGTATGCAGGGAAGTGAGAAACTTTTACCATTTTAAAAACACTCAAGCCACGTTTCTTTAAAAGATTTTACTTAATTATTTTCTTTCCATCCATCCATACATTGTAACCCTCTGGCTATCCAGAATTGGGTCACTGAGTGATAGGTTCAGAAAGGAACACCAGACATCATTTCCCCATCATCCAGTTCATTCTGGGGTTCCCCAGGCATTCCCAGGTTATATATATATTTATATATATATATATATATATATGTTGTATTCCATACAGGAATTTCTGAGTTGTCACCTGGGTCTCTTTTTATTGTGATGGGCCTGGAAAACCTTCAAAAGGGAGGTACCATCCTGATTAGATACCCAAACCATCTCAGCTCCAGGTTATCTGCCTAGGTACAGATGAGGCTTTAAACCCTTGCCCATCATACTTCTATCCTGCCATCACTTATGATACAAAAAAAAAAAATCAGTGGCCTCCAATTTGAAGGAGCTCCCAACTTCTTCATAGTCAGCTGGGAACCACTCAGTACACCCTGACCTGATGAAGCAACAGAACAGTGTCATCTAAAGACCCTTTCATACCATGGCAATTTAGAAGACATATGCCTGACATACAAAAAATTTGGGAAAACCGCTGGTATATGTTGAATAAGTTATGGGTCAGTTTTTTATAAGTTATAAGCACACTGGCTCAGATCGACATACAGCAAGTAAGTCTAGAAATTTTGAGCATGCCCAAAATTTTCCGACCAATGCAAGAGTATGCTCATACATGGGCCATAAGTTACAGGTAAGTTATATGATGTTGACATTAAGTGTAAGTTAGTTATTCATAAGTCGTGGTGTCTAGCTTATCCAAAACCTATGAGTAACTTGCGCATAACTTATGCATACCTTATCAAGAACTTGTCTCCAATGCATATCGAAGTATTTGAAGTTTACCAGACGACCACAGAACGTGTTCCTTACTAACAGCTACCATATAATGGCGTTTAGTGGATCTTCTTCCTGTGCTTTTTGTGCAGGCCAGGCGCCACCGGGCACATTGCTGCTCTATTTAATGACAAGTTTTCACCAGTTTTTTCACCACATTTTTAGTAGTTTTTTTTTTTTGTTGCTTTTAATTTACTTTGATTCAGTTTATTTATTTGCACCAATTCACAACACATAATCACAAAACACTTTACTGAGACGGTAAATTGGTAGAAATTTTTTATCCAAGGAAACCCAGATGAGTGCTTTGAGTCATTGACTTTGCATGTTTCGCTCCTACTGAATGAGCATGTGGAGAGAGTATATATATGCTTGCATTTTGTCATTGACTTTTAGCTAAATCTCTAACTAAATGTTTTAGCTAAATCCCTCACAATGAGTATCCACGCAT